TTAAAAATTCTCTAGAAGGAATCAATAGCATAATAACTGAGGCAGAAGAACGGATAAGTAACCTGGAAGATAAAACAGTGGAAATACCTACTGCAGAGCAGAAAAAAGAAAAAAGAATGAAAACTGAGGACAGTCTCAGAGACCTCTGGGACATTAAATGCACCAACATTCAAATTGAAGGGGTCCCAGAAGAGGAAGAGAAAAAGAAATCGTCTGAGGAAATATTTGAAGAGATTATAGTTGAAAACTTCCGTAACATAGGAAAGGAAATAGCCAATCAAGTCCAGGAAGCACAGAGAGTCCCATGCAGGATAAATCCAAGGAGAAACACATCAAGACACATATTAGTCAAACTATCAAAAATTAAATGCAAAGAAAAAAGTATTAAAAGCAGCAAGGGAAAAGCAACAAATTACATACAAGGGAATCCCCATAAGGTTAACAGCTGATCTTTCAGCAGAAACTCTGCAAACCAGAAGGGAGTGGCAGGACGTATTTAAAGTGATGAAAGGGAAAAACCTACAACCAAGATTATTCTACCCAGCAAGGATCTCATACAGATTCAAGAGAGAAATTAAAACCTTTACAGACAAGAAAAGGCTCAGAGAATTCAGCACCACCAAACCAGCTTTACAACAAATGCTAAAGGAACTTCTCTAGGCAGGAAACACAAGAGAAGGAAAAAACCTACAAAAACAAACCCAAAACAATTAAGAAAATGGTAATAGGAACATACATATCAATAATTACCTTAAGTGTAAGTGGATTAAATGCTCCATCCAAAAGACATAGACTGGCTGACTGAATGCAAAAACAAGACCCGTATGTATGCTGTCTACAAGAGACCCACTTCAGACCTAGGGACACATACAGACTGAAAGTGGGGGCATGGAAAAAGATACTCCATGCAAATGGAAAGCAAAAGAAAGCTGGAGTAGCAATTCTCATATCAGAAAAAATAGACTTTAAAATAAAGACTATTACAAGAGACAAGGAAGGACATGACATAATGATCAAGGGATCAATCCAAGAAGAACATAGAACAACTGTAAATATTTATGCACCCAACAAAGGAGGACACCAATACATAAGGCAACTGCTAACAGCCATAAAAGGGAAAATCGACAGTAACACAATCATATTAGGGGACTTTAACACCCCACTTTCACCAATGGAGAGATCATCCAAAATGAAAATAAGTTAAGGAAACACAGCTTTAAATCACACATTAAACAACATGGATTTAATTGATATTTATAGGACATTCCATCCAAAAGCAACAGAATGGACTTTCTTCTCAAGTGTGCATGGAACATTCTCCAGGACAGATCATATCTTGGTTCACAAATCAAGCCTCAGTAAATTTAAGAAAATTGAAACCATATCAAGTATCTTTTGGACCAGAATGCTATGAGACTAGATATCAATTACAGGAAAAAAACTATAAAAAAATACAAACACATGGAGGCCAAACAACATGCTACTAAGTAACCAAGAGATCACTGAAGAAATCAGAGGAAATCAAAAAGTACATAGAAACAGATGACATTGAAAACACGACGACCCAAAACCAATGGGATGCCGCAAAAGTAGTTCTAAGAGGGAAGTTTATAGCAATACAGTCCTACCTCAAGGAACAAGAAGAATCTCCAATAAACAACCTAACCTTACACCTAAAGCGATTAGAGAAAGAAGAACAAAAAAACCCCCAAAGTTAGCAGAAGGAAAGAAATCATAAAAATCAGATCAGAAATAAATGAAAAAGCAATGACGGAAACAGTAGCAAAGATCAATAAAACTAAAAGCTGGTTCTTTGAGAAGATAAACAAAATTGATAAACCATTAGCCAGACTCATCCAGAAAAAAACAAGAGAGAGAGGATAGAAATCAACAGAATTAGAAATGAGAAAGGAGAAGTAACAACTGACACTGCAGAAATACAAAGGATCATGAGACATTACTGCAAGCAGCAATATGCCAATAAAATGGACAACCTGGAAGAAATGGACAAATTCATAGAGAAGCACAACCTTCCAAGACTGAACCAGGAAGAAATAGAAAATATAAACAGACCAGTCACAAGCACTGAGATTGAAACTGTGATTAAAAATCTTCCAACAAACCAAAGTCCAGGACCAGATGGCTTCACAGGCGAATTCTATCAAACATTTAGAGAAGAGCTAACACCTATCCTTCTCAAAATCTTCCAAAATATAGCAGAGGGAGGAACACTCCCAAACTCATTCTACGAGGCCACCATCAACCTGAAACCAAAACCAGACAAAGATGTCACATAGAAAGAATACTACAGGCCAGTATCACTGATGACCAGAGATGCAAAAATCCCCCCAAAAATACTAGCAAACAATCCAACAGCACATTAAAGAATCATACACCATGATCAAGTGGGGTTTATCCCAGGAATGCAAGGATTCTTCAATATATGCAAATCAATCAATGTGATACACCATATTAACATATTGAAGGATAAAAACCATATGATAATCTCAGTAGATTCAGAAAAAGCTTTCCGCAAAATTCAACACCCATTTATGATAAAAACTCTCCAGAAAGTAGGCATAGATGGGACCTACCTCAACATAATAAAGGGCAATATATGACAAAACCACAGCCAACATTGTTCTCAATGGTGAAAAACTGAAACCACTTCCTCTAAGATCAGGAACAAGACAAGGTTGCCCACTCTCACCACTATTATTCAACACAGTTTTGGGAGATTTAGCCACAGCAATCAGAGAAGAAAAAGAAATAAAGGGAATCCAAATCAGAAAAGAAGAAGTAAAGCTGTCACGGCTTGCAGATGACATGATACTATACATAGAGAATCCTAAAGATGCTACCAGAAAACTACTAGAGCTAATCAATGAATTTGGTAAAGTAGCAGGATACAAAATCAATGCACAGAAATCTCTGGCATTCCTATACACTAACGATGAAAAATCTGAATGTGAAATTAAGGAAACACTCCCACTTACCATCACAACAGAAAGAATAAAATACCTAGGAATAAACCTACCTAAGGAGACAAAAGACCTGTATGCAGAAAAGTATAAGACACTGATGAAAGAAATTAAAGACAATACAAACAGATAGATAAACCATGTTCTTGGATTGGAATAATCAACATTGTGAAAATGACTGTACTACCCAAAGCAATCTACAGATTCAATGCCATCCCTATCAAACTACCAATGGCATTTTTCACAGAACTAGAACAAAAAATTTCACAATTGGTATGGAAACACAAAAGACCCCGAATAGCCAACGCAATCTTGAGAATGAAAAATGGAGCTGGAGGAATCAGGCTCCCTGAGTTCAGACTATACTACAAAGCTACAGTAATCAAGACAGTATGGTGCTGGCACAAAAACAGGATATATATCAATGGAACAGGATAGAAAACCCAGAGATAAACCCACGCACATACGGTCACCTTATCTTTGATAAAGGAGGCAAGAATAAACAATGGAGAGAAGACAGCCTCTTCAGTAAGTGGTGCGGGGAAAACTTTGACAGCTACATGTAAAAGAATGAAGTTAGAACACTCCCGAACACCATACACGAAAATAAACTCAAAATGGATTAAAGACCTAAATGTAAGGCTAGACACTATAAAACTCTTAGAGGAAACCATAGACAGAACACTCTTTGACATAAATCACAGCAAGATCATTTTTGACCCACCTCCTAGCTAAATGGAAATAAAAACAAAAATAAGCAAATGAGACCTAAACTTAAAAGCTTTTGCACAGCAAAGGAAACCATAAACAAGATGAAAAGAAAACCCTCAGAATGGGAGAAAATATTTGCAAATGAAGTAACTGACAAAGGATTAATCTCCACAATATACAAGCAGCTTATGCAGCTCGATATCAAAAAAACAACCCAATCCAAAAATGGGTCAAAGTCCTAAATAGATATTTTTCTCCAAAGAAGATATACAGATTGCCAACAAACACATGAAAGGATGTTCAACTCACTAATCATTAGAGAAATGCAAATCAAAACTACAGTGAGGTATCACCTCACACCGGTCAGAATGGCCATCATGAAAAAATCTACAAACAGTAAGTGCTGGAGAGGGTGTGGAGAAAAGGGAACCCTCTTGCACTGTTGGTGGGAATGTAAATTGATACAGCCACTATGGAGAACAGTATGGAGGTTCCTTAAAAAACTAAAAATAGAACTAACATATGCCCCAGCAATCCCACTACTGGGCATATACCCTGAGAAAATCATAATTCAAAATGAGACATGTACCACAATGTTCACTGCAGCACTGTTTACAATAGCCAGGACATGGAAGCAACCTAAGTATCCATCAACAGATGAAGGGATAAAGAAGATGTGGTACATATATCCAGTGGAATATATTGTATATTCCTAGGGGCATATACAATATGTATATGAACCTAGGGTCAAGACAGGTATAAAGATGCAGACGTAGAAAATGGACTTAAAGACACGGGGAGGGGGAAGGGTAAGCTGGGACAAAGTGAGAGAGTAGTATTGACATATGTACACTACCAAATGTAAAATAGATAGCTAGTGAGAAGCAGCCACATAGCAGAGGGAGATCAGCCTGGTGCTTTGTGACCACCTAGTAGGTGGCATATGCAAGTGGGAGGGGATAGGGGTATATATGTATACATATAGCTGATTCACTTTGTTATACAGCAGAAACTAACACAGCATTGTGACGCAATTATACTCCAATAAAGATGCTAGAAAAAAAAAAGTAAAAACAGGTGAAAGGTCCACAGGAGACCTGAGACTAGAAAATCTTAGAGTAGAATATGCCTACAGTATGGATGTGTCTTCCCACATTGTTACATAATTAATATTTCTCTATCTCTCTTAGTTGCTATTGCTTTTCCAAGCAGTTTCTTCCTTATTTTGGTGAGTTTCAGAGCCCACACAAACCCATTAGCCTTTAGTTACCTGAATTTACATGCTTTGGGCCCTTCTTTCCCCACCAGTGTTCCACGAGCTGCGGGGAGGGCACCCAGACGAGAAGTGCCATTTGCCGGAAGGTGCTGAAAACAGGTGTCTCAGCTACTGTCAATTCCTCCCTGTGCCCGCCCCTGCCGTTCTCTTCATCCATCAGGCCCTGTATGCTGGCCACCTGTGCAAGTGAGTATGTCAGAGCTCTGGGGATGGGGAGACGGCAAGAACAGTAGCTTTTCCTGAACCCAAGACCAGCAGCAGATAGGCAGTAAAGCCCTCTGAGGGCATTAGGCTGGTGAGCTCAGCTGGAGATGGGAAAGGAATCTTAATTATACGTGGCCAGGCAGGATGCTTTTCTCTGCTGGAAAAAACAGTTTGCAGGAGGTAGAGCAAAGTTCACTTGCTGGCATATGGAGATCTGGAAGCTGGAGTCAGCATGTTACTAATGAAGCCTAATGTTACCCACTCCAGTGTTTTAAACTAAACAGATTTGTGTTGTTCAATATTAATCCCTAGAGGTGTAACACTTCTGGGGTCTCCTCCCCATGTATACGGGGACCCTGGTGCTCTGCAGGACCCAAAAGGGATCCATTCTCCTTCTCTTTGTCCTCTGCCTCTTTTTATGACGCTGATTTCTTTTTCTTTCTTTCTTTCTTCTTTCTTTCTTTTTTAAGTCCTTTTAATGAGAGGAACTGCCTTTCCCCTGGAATCGCCCTCCATCTAGAACCCTGCATCTCAGCTTCTAGGGGTAGAAAACCCCAGCAGCGTGATAGCAGGTTGCCCCACTGCACCTCATTAGCTCTCCCATGTTTCATTGCGGCAGCAGCTTGATGGTCCACAGCTGGTAGCCATTTACTCCCGTAAAACAGAAGGTGGTAAATGAAGGCCCTGCCCAAAGCAAACTGAAGTGCTTTCTTTCCCTTTTCTCCCTTTTGTCCCCCTGTCTTTCTTCTCTTTGCTCTCTCCTTTTCACTGTCTCTTGTCGCTGCACCTCACTGCCCCTTTTCTCTGCTCTCCGCTTCTCTTTCTCCATCCATCTGCCTTCCCTTTCATTGCTTTCATTCCAGGGCCCGGGTGGCCATCCACAAAGCACAGTCCTCACATCGCGGCAGCAAGGAAGGTATACATCCAGACCCGCCGGCAGAGGAAGCTGCACTTCATCGTGGGGGGGTTCGCCTACCTGCTCCCCAAGACCGCAGTGGTGGTACGCTGCCCCACGCGGCGCTTCCGCAAGCCCCTCATCACCTGGGAGAAAGACGGCCAGCACCTCATCAGCTCCGCCCACGTCACCGTGGCCCCATTTGGGTACCTGAAGATCCACCGCCTCAAGCCCTCTGACGCGGGCATCTACACCTGCTCGGCCGGCCCGGCCCGGGAGCAGTTTGTGATTAAGCTCATTGGAGGCAACCGGAAGCTGGTGGCCCGGCCCTTGAGCCTGCGGAGCGAGGAGGAAGCCCTCGCGGTGAGGAAGGCCCGCCCGAAGGAGGCCCTGCAGACCCACAAACACCACAACGGGATCTTCTCCAATGGCAGCAAGGCCGAGAAGCGGGGCCTCCCTGCTGATGCCGGGAGCCGCTATGATGACCTGGTCTCTCGGTTGCTGGAGCAGGGGGGCTGGCCAGGAGAGCTGCTCGCCTCCTGGGAGGTCCAGGACTCCACAGAAAGGAACACATCCTCCGAAGAGGACCAGAACGCCGAGCAGGGCCTTCTGCACCTGCCCTTCACCATGGTGGCCGAGCAGCAGCGCCTGGACGACATCCTCCGGAACCTCTCCCAGCAACCCGAGGAGCTCCGCGACGTCTACAGCAAGCACCTAGTGGCCCAGCTGGCCCAGGAGATCTTCCGCAGCCGCCAGGACGCGCTCCTCAAGCCGTCCGAGCGGGGGATTCCCCCAGTGGCCATCCCTCCTCATAAACACGTGTCTGGCTTCAGCAGCTCCCTCCGGACCTCGTCCCCTGGGGAGGGCGGGGGCAGCTCTCGCCGGCCACACCGGAAGCCCATCATCTTGCGCAAAATCTCAGCCGCCCAGCAGCTCTCAGCCTCCGAGGTGGTCACCCACCTCGGGCAGACTGTGGCCCTGGCCAGCGGGACACTGAGTGTGCTTCTGCACTGCGAGGCCGTAGGCAACCCAAGGCCTACCATCAGCTGGGCCCGGAACGGAGAAGAGGTTCAGTTCAGCAACAGGTGAGCTTTGCAGCTCCCCGGTCTGGGAAGGACGGGCAAGGGGCCACACTGTGGGGGAGACACCCTATTCATTCTTCCTTCAAGGTGTTTCCAAGGGTCGGGCTTAGAGCACTGGGCCTCAGGGATTGCTCCCATCCTGGGTTTCAACCCTCTCTTGGCACTGATAGACTGTTGAAGCAAAGACAAGGTATTTAATTTCTCTAAACTGTATGTTCTCATCTTTATAAGGTAATAATAAGAATGCCTACCAACCCCAATCCCCGTAGGAACCCAAAGATGAATGAGATACTCTCTGGATAGCTTTGAACTTTTGGCAGAAAAATATCATTCCAGGCCAAGGCATTGTTACATTACCATTTTGTGAGATGAACCGCTGAAAATCTTGGACACCAGGATACTGTCTCTGTGTGTGTGGTCCCCCAGGGCTGGGGAGAGAGTGCAGCCAGCAGCTGCTGCCCCCGTGGGTGAGCCCATCCTCTGTCTGGGCTGGACAAGGCTGTTTGTTCCAGAAAGTTTTTATTCCCAGTCAGACCTGTGATTAATTATCCTAATATCTCTTGGTGTCTCTGTTTTGGTGTGTCTTTACTGGGATGACAGCATATATTACTTACTGGTTTCCTTGGGCCATGGCCATTCATAATGTAAAATCAATAGTGATAGAAGAGGTAATAATAATAACAATATTTTTAATACCACCTGTGTGCCAAGCAGCATGCCATGCTTCCTATGGACATCCTCTTTAATCTTTATAGTGGCCCTGACAACAAAGATAGTTGGCATTGATTGAGTAGTGACTGTCTTCCAGACAAGTGTAAACTCTTTATGTGCTTTATCTTACTGACTTCTAACAGTGGCCCTGAGAAGTAGGTATAATTTTTATCCACACTTTACGCAAGAGGAAACCAGTCTGGCAACTTGCTAAAGATCACATTTATTAGGTGGCAGAGCCAAAATGTGTGACAAAAATAAGATGGGCAGCGAATAGAAGAATCACAGTCCATGGATGAGGGAGGAACCTTTAAGGTCCTCTGGCCCAAAGTCCTCATTTTAACTTTTTATCTTCTCTGAATCCATGGAGCATATGCTCTTTTCATTAAATCTACTTTGAAATACGATTGTTCAGCTTATCCTCTTCACTGGCTTGGTAGCTCTGAGTGAGGAAGGAAAGATGGCAGGATTTATTGTGCAAGGCAGGGTGCCAGGTTTATTTATGTGTTACTGCACTTGTTCTTCTGACAGTCCGTCCACAGGATTGACATTATCCTCCAGTTTCACATAGAAAATTGAGGTTCAGCAGCTCACCCAAGGTCACACTTTAGTAAGGACCAGACTGAGGACTCAATGTCAAGTTTATTTGATTCCAAAGAGTGGTTCTGTCTACTCTTCCGGGACTTGATGAACAAGCATGACTTTGTCCGTCCTGCCCACATCTTTTGTGCTTTTGAAATGTCAGTAATGTTGCCTCTCAGCCTGAGCACTTAACAGATCAAATAGTTTTAATAACAATACTAAGTATTTTTTCTTTGACACTGTGCTCAGTGCTTTAAAGGTAATATTGTTTAATCTTAAAAAAAAAAAAAAAAAAAAAAAAAACCCTATGGGGTAAGTACTGTTGTTACCACATCAGTAATTAAAAAGCTGAGGCACCCACACAGAAGCACTGGAGACAAGGACTGAATGAACTATGTTTTGAGAGCCTATGGTGGTAACTTCTCCTCTTGTTTGCTTCTTGGTCCTCCCCAGCGTATACGTTCCTTGATCAGCTTAACTGCTATGATCCCCGAAGTTTTTTCCAGAAATCTTTGTAAGGAATTTGTGTGTCGGGCCAAAGTTGGAGTAAATCCCCTTGAGGCCACTGGGGAGAGAGACACCTCTGGCATCAGACCCCCAGGATGATGGGCGCTGATTGAAAGTGGTACCCTGGTGCTCAGGTGCCTGCTGCACTGGAACTCACCTCTGTGACTGTACCTGTCACACCTGTTGTGCCCAAATCATGCCATGCCTTCCACCAGCCAGTCGGTTTCTCAAGTGTAGATACTGTTGCATTCATATCCCCTGGCCTGTTGCCCGAGATTGGTGTTATTGAGATCAATAACAGCAGTTGGCTGTGTGAGGGAAAAGATGGGAATTAACATTTCTTGACTAACTCCAGATATTGTGCCCCTATGCTAGCAACTTCCATAGCCATCATCTCTGTTAATGTCCACTGTAAGGTGTAACATATGAACTGATATCCCTATTTCAGAGACGAGGAAACCGAGGCTCACCATAATTAAGGAAGTTGACCAATGTTAAATAGCTAGTAAAAGGCAGAACCAAGAGAGCAGGTTCAAGCCCAGTTCTGCGAACTCAAGCTCATGCTGTTTCGAGTGACTAAGTTCATGTTTGCATGTATCTCCTATACTTCACCAGGGATACCAAGTTATCTCAAGATCCCTGCTGTTTTCTACCGGCTTCTTCCAGGATCCCTTCTTTCGCATAGTGACTATTTCCTCCTAAAAGCTGCACAGCAAGACAGGCCATTGGGGATGGGGGAGGGGATGATTAGGACTCTGCTCTGCCCGGAACCGCAGGGAGAATATTGAGGCCATGGCTTCCTCAGGGATCCTGACAACTTCCTTGAGTGCTGGAGATTATGAAATCCAAGGATCAGGGCCCATGGGTCACTGGTGACTACAGGAAAGATGTGGAGGGAGTTAGATGAGGATTGAGGGCTTCGGGCTGGTATTGCCCTTTACTTTCCACGGCCTTAATCCTTTCATTTTAAAAATGAGGGGGGTTGTAGCAGATCATCTCTGATCCACAGCCTTCACTCATTTGTAGAAGGCCACAGAAGGTTAAAATCCATATGTTGGTGGAGAGTGGGGAGAGCCTTGAGCACAGTAACTTCAAAATTGGTCGTACAAGTTGTATCCAAGTGGTCCACAAAACAGGGATTCATCAATCACATGAGTTTGAGACATGCTCGCTTAAAGCTAAACAGAGGTATCTACTGCTGGACCTTACTTATATTTTTAAATATAGTATGTGATTTTTTTCTTTTTTATTATAAAAGCAATGAAGAGGCTGTAAAACAATTCAAATAATACCTGCATATGTATAGTAAAAGTGCAAGTCTCCTTCATGCCCTCAATCCTATTCCCCAGAGGCTGTCAGTCTTAATAATTCGGTATACATCCTTTTGGAGTTTTTATATATTTTATTGTATTATATATAAAACACATACACACATAGGGTTTGTGTTTTTAATGGGAAATTACTCATGGTTAGAAGTTTGACTTGATTTTTATTCAACAACATGTCTAGAAAACATTTCAGAGTAGTAGGTAGGGGTCTGCATCACCTTTTTCAACAGCTGATTACTGTTCTTGAATGGATTTAACTAACCCCCAGGTGAAAATGATTTTGGTTTTTCCGTGTTTTTTTTAACTCCTTTAAGCAGTCCAACATGTGTTGTGACTTTCCAAGTGGATGATATAGTATTCAGTGTTTTCCAAGTACTTCTTTGATCAGTGAACAATTTTTTGGCCTAGTAATCTCAAGGGTATCGATAATTCTTGAAATACTGCTTAGAAATACGACTTTTGCCTTTAATTTTCACCTTAATGGGCAATGAGAGTCCAATGGCTTTAAGATTAAGAAGTTTCAACAGAATCTTGCTAAAAAAAGAAACACAGCAGCCAGGTGCTAAAGATATGAAAAGTTGTAGGCCTAGGACAGCAGAGGGCAAATCCTAGGTCTTGAGTCACCAGGACATTGGTGAGAGTGGCAGTGCAGGGTAACATTCAGAAGGAAAGCAGATGGGGGCCATGAGCAAGCAGTATTACAATTCTTGCCACTCTCAAGACTTTTTTCCAAATCCAGCCTCAACAGAGCTTTTTAAAGCAAGTTAATGGCACATGGTAGGGAAAAATAAGAGATTTCTGTTTCTGATCCTTGACATCGTAATTTTCCCATTTTACTTATCTAGCCAGTAAGAAGTATGGCTGGAGCTTACTTTTCTATGCAGTTGTCCAAGTGGAGTTTCAGAAAATAAAATGGATGCATCTGTACAGAGCACACAGAAGGCACAGAACTGCCATTGGGACTTGCTCTGCTGTGGTTGTTGGTGACCTCTTTTGTGTCGGGTTTCATTGCTTGTCAACATTAGTGCGTCTGGTAGCGGTTCCGAAATGCTTATTAGTTTTCAGACAGAGAAGTGCTGAAATGCCCGGTGTTACAGTTCAGTTAGTCTGTTTTTGTTTAGTGCCCAAATCCGTGTTTCTGAAAGAGTCTGCAAGCTTCAGCTGGCTATTGGTCTGTAGGACTTTGCAGATATATTAAAGTATACTCTAAACAGCCTGAGCCAGCAAGATAGGTCAAGGTAGAAAGAAAGTGACCGAAGTCTACTACTTCTTGGCTTTTAAGTATGCCAAAGCTTGATTTGAAAGAAATTGGTTTTCAGAAAGAATCACTAACAATTCAGATAGTACTGCATCTCATCAGATACATAACTTACTAGTTAAAATGAATTCACATCATTCTTAGAAGCACATGTCAACTTCTTAAGCAGTCATTTACAGGATGTCCCTAAGTGTATTATGACAGACTGGTTCTTCGTAATCCCTATTTCTTCCTTTATTTCACAAACCTTCCCATGCTTACTCTGAGCCAGCCCCTATGTTAGATATGAAGGATGGAGGAAAAGGAGACTCATTTCCTGTCAGTGCAACTCAAAGGCTAGTTTGGAATCCAGAGAAGTAAATGCAGTGTTTAAATGCTAAGAGAGGGGTATGCATATTTATTCATTCCATAAATATTTATTAATCTACCTATCATATGCCAGATATACACGTACTTGCTAGGATATTGTGATGAATGAAACAGGAGTCCGTGTTCGCTTGCACTTTACGTATATTTAGGTAGCTGCTGAACTGGCACACATCAGAAAGATCTTTCCTGATCATTCTAGCTAAAGGAGCACTCTGCATCATTCTCTAACCCTTCAACTCTATTTTATT